TTGACGAGGCAGCGCGGCTTCCACATGTTGTGCAACTAAAACCTCTGGTGAGTGTGCTGGGAAATGCCGGTTTCTGTACTGAGTAAAGCCCTTCCATGTGACCTTGCTTTAAAGCTTGTTATGAATTGATGAGTACATTTGTCATTGGTTTCACTCATGGTTAGTGTTCACATACCGTTTACTTTAACACGGTGTGTGTTTTCATTACCAATGATAAGTGTTCGTGGACCGTGCCGTGACATTTTATGAAACATGCTGTGCAGTAGCTCTATATAACAGAAAAAATATGCTGGAGTATGTGAAAGAGAAATGAATCTGGACATGTGCCCAGATCAGCGGATCACTTTAGGGTGGCTGTGAGACCTCTAATCTGAAAAGCAGCTTAGCTTTGGTTGTGTAAAATCTGCCATGTCTGTGGGTCATGTGAGAGCAAGGGGCAATCCTGACATTTTATGCCATTTCATCCATCACATTGCTCTGCTCTTGTTCTCCAAATATATAAACACTTCATTTGGGAAAGGTGGCTTGTGTAGCATTTTGATAATGCTCTAACCTCTCACTATATGGTTTTTCTTTGCAATGGTTTGTATTGAGGAATCAATCACACTCCCTAGATGCACGATCGATGCGTCCAGAGATAGTGATTGATTTTAAACCACATGTAAGCATATCACATACCATCACATGCAGTGTGTCAGCGTTAAATGCAGCGGCTGTCATCTGATCATTAACTGGAATGGGTGACAGTTGCAGCTTGTAAATGGCAGATTAGGAATTCCTGACGCAGGAATCCCTAATCGAACCTAAACGTATAGGTGTGACTGTGGCCTAAGGTTTTCATTCAGCAATCCCAAAATATATTAGGTTAATGGGCTTCTCCTCCCCCCCAGCCCCAGTTGGCTGTACTGTATATCTGCTCGTGTGTTTTATTTTAAGGGATCATAGATTGTTGCTTCCTTTGGGGGCAGGGAGTGGTTCAGAGATCCAGTAGGCACTGCAAGAAAGTGAGCTGTATAAAAAAAAAATCTATTATGGCAATACCTCTTTATTTGGGCATTGCTTTAATCATTACCTTTTTGTTTGCTTGTTTTGGATCCCTAAATCCATTTCTTCCTTGTTCTGGGACCAGTGAAATGAATGTGAAATCCAATTATTGGTAGGCCCTAGACATAACTTAAGGGATTCCTTTGGAATCTCAACTTTGTAATTTCTTATCTCTGTTCACATCGTGGTTTAGTTATGAGAGTCCGGCTAGGCTCATGCCATTCACATGCTCCCCTAGATAGCGCTGATGAGTTTAGGAACTTTCATAAATCAGCACTGTAGTCTTTGGTCACGTTTCACATCCATTGATTTTGAAATGTTAAATTAACTTCAAGCCATCCATACACGCATAGATTACTATGGATAGAAAGAAATCTAACATATTCCTCCACCTGCGTAAAACAGTGCAGATAGACAAATCTCTCATGGCAGGCTATTGTGTTCTGACAGCTAGCGCCCACGGCTGTCAGAATACCTCAACAGGGACTGCAGCTGAATCATCATCTTGTGCAGTAGAAACAAACAACAAGCCTTGGATCTTTGTAGTTTGTGACTTTGACAAATTGATTTGGTTGCTTAAAGAATAAGTACACGATCTTAGACTGATATGGGGCTCGTCTTTCTCTGTCTCCTGGCCAGGAAACATAGGGAGATGAGCCCCTCAGACTGCTATGCGGCTCTAGTACGCAGGCATATCCTGCAGTGCGCAGACTTCGGTGCGGGATGTAAGCAATCCTCAGAGACCACAGGCACTGGATCTCTAAATATAACTCTCTGGAGGGGGAAGGTGGGTTCTGTGAAGCAAGGGTTGGGGAAGGAAGGTGACAAAGATAAAGTGCATTTATTCTCTTTAGGGCTTGTTCACAACCTATGTATCCCTATGCTATTTCTGGGCTCTGTTCACACCAGTGCCGTCCGTTCTGGTCCAGACAAGAAAACTATACTGCTTGTCTGATTTTTCTCTGGTTTGGAGCACATGTAAACGCATCAAAAACGCATCAAAAACACTGGACTGCACCTGAAAACCCATTTTAGGGTAAAGAAAAAAAAACACTAATGCTAAATTATCAGAACCAAAATAACATGTCAAAGTAAAACTATCAGACATCACTGTTTACAAAGTCAGACTGGTATAGAAGCGCTGACTTTTATCTCTGGTGGTAGTCTTTTAGATGTCACTTAAGGTCAGGCCAATGCACAGAGATCAAATATGTTTGTCCTGTTACTCCTGAAATATCACCCACTGAGCAAGAAACACATTGACATTCATTCCAGGTTTTTTTTCTTTCCTTTTCCTATTTAAGATAGCGTTTTGCAGCCTCATGAAAAACATTATGGTGGCCTTGCCTTTCTGCAAATCTATTTGTGGAACATCATGCTAACATTTTGGCTAGGGTTTAAACAAAACTTTGCTTCCCCCCCCCCATCCCTTCCCCCCGAAAATAGATGCATGCCCATGTATTCAGTTTACCTGTATGCTTGATTTTAGCATTATAAGGGAAGTTCACCAGCCTAGTGTAGTGATTTTTTAACTCCTTTTTTAATAAAAAAAATAATTTATTATTGGTATTTATATAGCGCCAACAATTTTTACATAGTTGCACATTCACATCAGTCCCAGCCCTCAAGGATCTAAAGCTGGCCGTACACCTTACAACCATCGCTCGACTTTCATTGTGCGATGGTTGTAAAGTCATTAAAATTTCATACAACCTGCTTCTAATCGCAGGGCCTACAAATTTAGTATCACCATCTTTTTATTCTACCGGGCCTGCGCTTTCAGAAAATATATGGTTTGGGGGGTCTTTTACAAAAGCTAGCAATGCAGCAGTTGAAAATCAAATCAATTAAGAAAAAATTGCAGAAAATTAAAAAATGGCTTGGCCAGCTGATTTGAAAAATGTTCCGGAGGGCTTGGCAGCGAAAGGGTTAATGGAAGTGATTCATAGCCGCCCTATAACTTCTATGAGGCAAGAAAGGTGCCCCCCCATGTATACCAGGCTATCCATAACTGGCATCAGGATGGAGAGTGGTCCCCGTTCTCCTCTGTACAGTATGAATATGGATGTGCTCGGCTCTGCACTTCAAGATTGAGGGCTTGTTCACACCATGTCCGGATCATGTTCAGACCAGAACGGTTTGTTCCCGGACCAGAAAAGCATCCCAATGTATACCTATGGTAATTCCGGGCTTCACACAGCGCCGTCCGCACTGCATTTTCAGATCTGGTCCAGGTATGGTGTGAACATAGCCTAAAGCTACCCATACACCTGACGATTATCGTACGATAATCGCGGGTGATCCCGGGATTGTACAATAATCATAAGGTGTATGGGCAGTGCGCGTTATGGGTTAGAGCTGTCACATCCCAGCCAGCTGTGGCAGGGTAAGGAGCTGATCAGGAACTCTCTGGGCTAGTTTACACCAGATGCAGTTGTGATGCAGTCCGTTCAGTTTGGCAGCTGCTTCAAAATCGCGTCACAATTTCTGGTGCTCTTTCAGGGCCCTGTCACACCATGTCCGGACCAGATCTGCACGCATTTCTGCCAAACGCGGTGCGTTTGTGATGCATTCCATGCGTTTTCTTTTGTTTTGGGGGTAAATTCATTATGCAAATTAATCTCTTCCTGCTCCATGTCATTGCTTCTGTTGCGTGCCGGTGCAGTACGTTTGTGACGCGTTCCGGTGCGTTCTAGTGCAGCAAAAATGTGACAGCATTTTTTTTTTCCTGCACTGGAACGGGCTGGACTGGTGTGAACAGAGCCCAAAAATCACATACAAATGCATTAGGATGCATTTTTGATGCGGAAGAAAAATGTAACGTACCGCATCTGATCCGGACATGGTGTGAATGGGCCCTCACACCAGTGCAGTCAGTTCCGATGCAGTCAGAAAAAATCCTGCTTGCCACATTTTAGCTGCACCTTATTGCAACCGAGCGCATCGAAAACGCCTGCAAATGCACTGGACTGCACCTGAAAGCCCATCTTACGCTAAACTCAAAAGCGCAGTAAAAACGCGGCAAAATGCACCGCAGTGCAGCTGCGCAGACTCACACAGTTCTGATGCAGTTATGGTGTGAGCTAGCCCTCTGTTGGTGCCCAGGTCCCAGTCACACCATATCCAGTGCATTTCCTTTTGTGGTTCGATCCCGGAACGCACTGGATCGCATAGATCAAGCCGGCAGTGTTCTGGGGCGGGAGGCAATCGCTTGCACCAGAACACGAGGTACAGGAATACCCTCCGTTGCAGTTTGATTGTAAACGCTGCCCAGCTTGATCTATGCGATCCAGTGCATTTCGGGCTTGGAACGCACAGGATAAAGTGTAGGGAAGACATCAGTAGTGTATTAGACCCATGACATCTCATTAAAGGGAAACTGTCACTGCCTAATTACTGTCACACGGGTCTGGGCGATTTAATTGAACAATGCAAACTTCAGTGACCTCTTTTTAACGGTGTAATTGGCAGATGCAATTATGTTATTAAAAAAATAACCTAATTAAAAAAAATATACAGTATATAGCCTCTAATAAAAAAGTGTTTCATGAAAGCATTGTACCAAATAAAGGCCTTAGGAAAAACATGAAAAATATTTAGGTATGTTAATCAGTCTAGGAGTTATTGTCGGGTTCACCAATCCATGCTGATGCTGCTGAATTTGACCTGGGCAACCAGGCCTCAATGATTTTCCCTCATGTAATAGAAGAGCACACACTGCATGTTAGAACCTCGTGCTTTGGTATATGAGGCTTGATATTTTACTTCATGTAAAACATTCATAAAAAATCACAACTACAGACTGTCAGGGGTCCATGTAATATACATTGAGAACCACTGCGGTTGACTACGGCATTATGAACCATTCCTGCTGTTTTTCGGGTATACACATTATGCATTAAGCTGTGATATTCATGTGGACAAATCAAAATTCAGTGTGAATACTTGTCTTGCAGGTTCTTTGCTTTGACGTCGCTCAGAATTCTATTTCTAGCAGCATTTGGCCTGATGATCGTTATCTGCGTAGATCAGTGGAAGAACAAAATCTGGCCTGAACTGGGAGGTAAGAAATCTTCTGCTTCCTGTAGCAGTATCCTAAAGCCAATGTAATATTGTTATTAGGACAATAGATAGTAAAATCTGAAATGACAGGAAAACAAAATGTCAGGGAGGGTTGGGGTGGGGGTGGAAAAATGCGATCTCTCTCTCCTGCCGGCCGCTGCAGCTTCAGTGCGGCTAGGAGGAGAGGGATGGAGCGCTGACAGGTGTGATCAGAGCAGAGGAGCGGCAGGTATGGTCCCGCCGCCGGCTACCTTGCACGCCGCGTCGAGTAGACAGTGAGAGCTGTCACAGGAGTTCTAGCACAGTGCTGTGCTAGAACTCCTGTATTGGAGGTGACAGGTTCAATAAAGAGAACATGTCACCTCCAAATGCTATCACACCGGGGCTTGTCAGCTAGCTCCTGTGTGATAGCAATAAAGTTAAGTGAAAAAAATAAATAAAAATGTATAAATTATAAAAATAAATAAACATTTATGAAAAAATAATAATTAAAATGATAAAAAGTAAAAGATAGTAAGATTAGTAGATTAAAAAAA